TACTTAAAAACAGTTATAAGATAAATTTGGAAGAAGTGTAATGCCAAGAAATAATAAGCATAATACTAATTTAATCTAAGCGATACAATTAAAATTAGAGTGACATTAATGCTACATTAATTAATGTTAAACAAAATTAATTTAAAATAGAATGAATTTAGATCCAATAATGTCATAATAAAATAAATAATATTAAAAAGAATTGATTGGTGTTTTTGATAAATTATGTGTAAATTAGATAAATTAAATAAAATTATAAATAGAAAAATTATAAAAGAAAATATTAATAATTATCAAAATATATCACATGATATTTTACATGTGATCTAAAATATCAAATGGTGATAATATTAAAAGTATACAATTTTATATTAGCTTGTTAAAATTAAGACTAATCATAATTTATATTTTCTAGATATTTCTTTAATATTGACAAAATGTACTTACAAATTTAATGTGAAACTTACCAATAACAGAATCATTAAGTATAATAAGAGAATCAATTTTATATTAATAAAAACAATTTCAGTATATCTAACTAGAACTATACTTATCAGTATTATTCATATATTCAATTTTTTATTTTTTATATGACTCATATTAGATTTAACAAGATAATTATTAAAAGAGGCAAAATATTAATTTATTTGATTACAAAACATAATAAAAATATTAAGCTATACTTTTAGTTATATAAATACAAAATCAAATTAAAATTAATAATATTAATAAAAAGTTTATATATTGAATTATTATAAATCAAATATTATTTATATTTGTAAATAATAAGTAATTTAAAACTTATATTAATATTCTTAATAAAATATATATTTTTTTATTAATAAATAATTGCAAATAAGTACAGTCAAAACTGGATATAACGAAGGTGGCTGGATAATTAGTAAAAATTTTTGGAATCTTCGTTATATAGAGATTACTATACTTTTTATAGCGAACTATTAAGTTATTGCAAAATTCAAACTTCGTTATATCGAGGTTTTAATTACACTTCACTATAACCAGAGTTCGTTATAACCAGTTTTGACTGTAAGTAATAATTTTAGGATAACCCTATTTCCACCATCGTAATTTGCTATTTCCACCATGTGACATGGAATTACTGGATGTTTCCGAATGTAATATTTGCATCACATGAAGAAGTTCTATTAAATTATTATGATTATTTTTTTTCCCATCAATATCGATATTAAAAAGAATCTTTTTACCATAAAAATGAATGACTACCAAATAAGATACACAAATGGAAGCTTTTAAATAATATTATTTACGCAAATAAGGTTTCTTTTACGTCTTTTATCTAAATCTAACTATCTTTTGTTGTACTCTCCATATTAGAACATGTTCTACTATTATGTCCAATTCCATAACATAAACCACATTTTCTGATATGCTTGTTTGATTCAGTCAACTCAAAGGTGGATAGATCTCTTTCAGTAGATGATTGAACAACGTTTCTTGCTCCAACTGGACATCTTCTTGTGTGTTGTATCTGCGGATTTTGCACAATTATAGTTAATTCTTGAAACAGACTCAGCATTTTATCTAAAACTGCATATTGTTGATGAATTAGCAAAGCATCGAATTGTTGATTATATTCTTGCCATTGCTGTCGCAAAGAATTTTTAGTTTCGATTGGACTTTGTTGGCGTTCTTGGATTCACCAATGTTGGTGAAAGTCGATAAGTTGCAAGCACCGGTCATTATTGAGATACTCTTTAATTGTATGAGAGCAAGGAAGACCCATCGATAATGTAAAAGTACCACTGCAAGGTTGTAGTGGATTTTCAGGAGTCGCATTAGACATCTTTGTAAATTATTTATAAACCTTCTTCAATGCGAACACAGACACTTTGGTAATAACCTGTGCATAAAATGTATTGTTTTGAGCTTGAGGAATCTGAATTCTCTCCTGAGAGATCATGATTTGAATTTCTTGATGTTGATTCTCTAATGCCAAAGTGATTCTCTCATGGACAGCATGAAGATCACCTACTGATACT